GGGGGGGTGTTGATAAGGATAAGGCAGAACTGAGAGGGGGGACGGGCGTATACAGGAATATATCCAGGGCTCATATCCCACCCCCTGAATACGCTGATCTGGGATAGAATTGATACAAGAACTGTTGATAAAGCAGCCATGGCAATAACAATGCTTTACTTAAATCTTGTAATTATATGTTAATTTACAGATCACAGATGTTTTGAAAGAAAAAATTAAATTAATAAATTCAGATTTTTTTTTAAATTATGACAAACTAATCGTTTCTATGAGACAAAAATTGTGCTTTATTTTTTACATTAAAAATCGAATCTCGAGGGAAAAAACTAGCAAGTTTGAACATTTGATTTGAGTCAATAAATGTTGATTTGTTAAAGGTATAGTTGGTTGGGTTGGGTTGATAACATCTTGTCGAGTTGATTTTAGAAAAGTAGGTTCAAATTAATTAGTTGAATTTGTTCTAGTTTAATTATACGGCTTGAAGTACATTCATGCAATCGTGCAATATTACTTAGTTATGTAATAAACAATTGTAGATTTCACATTTCTGAATTTTGAATTACAATTCGAAAGAAAATTTCCATTTTATTTTTCTTTACAACTCTTTATCAGTCTATATATAGATAAATAGGGGATATATAGATAGATATAAGATATATAGATAAATAGGGGATATATAGATAGATATAAGATATATAGATAAACTTTTCTAGGAACCCAGCTTTGCCCGGATATCTAATTCATTTTTCAAAGTCAAACCATGTAATATGAAATCTGATCGGACATACATCAAGAAATTACCACTTTAAATCTACAAATATAGATTTTATCCACATTTTATTTGAATTTCTATTTTGTTTATTTGCTGAACAAATTCAAAATGTTATGCCACCTAGCTTTTGGACTTAGAACTTGATCGTGTTTTTTCAAAGATATAAAGATTCTTAAAATGCTGTTCTTACATTTATCATAAGTTAATGTTTTAAATTATCGAAACAAACGTCTTTGTTAAACTATTCTTGAAAAATTAAAGTTCATTTCAGTTTTCAGAACGGCAACATTTTTACAGCGTCATTATTTGAATGGCAAGTTCAGGAAGCAGAATTCGTAATTTGCGCACTATCCTTGCTAATAGTATCCTTGCTAATAGTATCCTTGAATTTTGCACGGATTGGCAAAACTGCACTTTATAAATCCCGCAGTTGCAGTTTTGTTATGCAAGGTCTATCAAAATTATTAAATGCAAAAAGTTTAACAGTAGTTTAAAAAAAATAAACATATTTTACATTGAAATTTAGAAACTTAATGTCGAAGTGCTCCCCCATCTGAACTATGGATATAAATAACAATTTTTAAGTTTCATTATTCCCCTGTATCTCCAACTCTCCTTATCATGTCTCTCCTATTTCTGCCCTCAATTACTATACCCCCTGTCTCTCTTGAGCCCCCCCCCCCCCCCCCCCCCCCCCCCTACCTGATTATTTATATCAACCTTTATTCAGACATGCCCTTTACATTTTTGATGGCGTTTTGTAAGTTTTACCATAAGAAAAAAAAATCAGTTAATTCTTTTTGGGAAAAAAATAACAATGAGTAAAAAATAATGATTTATACCTCGCCACCTATAAACCATTAGTTATAAATAAATATAACATCCCTGGCGCAGCTTAAAAAAAGCAGGCAGGCAGTTAGGCAGCTGGGTAGGGTCTGGTATAGGCCTGGCTTCAAGGTTAAATTAGCGCACAAAATATTATTTTTCTATATATCCTTGAAGTACAACATTAAAAACACAAAGTAAAGATAAACAATTTTTTTATTTTGTCATGTTTCCCGCATGGCCATGGCCTAGTTTTAAGAAGTTTTTTAGATGATAATTTATGAACACAACTTCAAGTTAAAACCATGATTTATTGGCGCAAATTCTATATTTTGATGTACAATATTATTTAATAATTTTTCTTTGTTTTAAAAAGACTATTTGAACATTTTTCAATGTTTCTATTTGGAATATTGACGATGATTTTGAAGTTATAAAAAGCACTTAATGCAGATCGTCTGACATTGGATTAAAATAATCCAACATTTTTTTTGCATGATACATCCCCCCCTGGATCCCCTCCTTAAAACACGACCATTTACTAACTAACCCCCCCCCCTGTTTATCTGTCTTGTTCATGGTATCTATCTATCTATCTTTGCCGATCTACTGCGAGGAAATTTCCATGCCAAGGATTGATAGACCAAACCTCCATCTATTCTAATACATCAACTCATAAATTCTTAATCTTTATAGTTTATTTTTATTTTCAAATCTAATAAGTTTTAATTTTAATTTAAGCCCCTGAGTCCTGACCAACATTCCCGTATATACGCCCCTTCGTTTAAGTCAAATTTTATGCAGTAAGTCTAAATGTCAATTAAGCTGTTTGTTTTGATTATATTTCAAATGTGAGGCAAGAATAGTTGTGCAATGTTTATAATCTTGGTCAGCTGATTGTCAAGTTAGCGCTTCAGGCTGAACAGCTGGAAAACAGCTGTTCTGCCTTACCAGAGGATCAGCTGTTTTCCAGCTGTTCTCCCTCAGGGGTTATTATAAACTTTTCCTCTCTGACCAACTGCGTATGTTTTATTAGTTTTTGTTAAACGCATTTTAAAAAAGATTTTAAACATATTTCTGACGCTAGGGGGAATGTTAGTGTGAAGGGGAGAGGGGGGGGGGTAGTGTTAGGCCTGTGGCAGCTTGGCGCTATACTGTCTGCCTGAACTGCTTGATACTGCTTGTTTTAACTGCTTTAAATAGAGAATAATAAATAAGCCTCAATCTTACACACATATAAGCAAACATTCTAACGTAAAAATAAATATAAAGTCAAAAACTCATATTCTGAAAAAAAAATTAATATTTTTCGGTAAATTTATTTTATTAGAATGACTATTTTTCTCGGACACAGTATATTTTTTGTCCCATCGATAAGATACTTTTTGACTAAGTATTAAAATGACTCTTATGTACGTATTATTTATAATAGTATTTCCATTTTAGAAACAAACTTTGAAATTTCTCCTATTTTCTCGGACTGTATCTAGAGTAATTTAGTTTTGGACAAAGGAAGGGGAGTTCTTATAATGCAGGTGGGGAGGGGGGG